AGTCTGGTACCACAGTGGTCATGGCAGTCTGGTACCACAGTGGTCATGGCAGTCTGGTACCACAGTGGTCATGGCAGTCTGGTACTACAGTGGTCATAGCAGTCTGGTACTGGTACAAGGAGAGCCACATAGACCGATGGGACAGACTGAGGATCCAGAAATAAATCTATCACCGATTGTCAGCTGATCTTTGACCAAGGGTCAAAACTCATTAAGTGAGTAAAGGATAGTCTCTTTAAACAGGGCCTATATTCCATACCATATAAAAAATGAACTCAAATGCATCAAATTCCTAAATGTAAAGCTTAAAACTATAAATATCAATGAAGAAATATGGGCAAACTTAGGGGTATTAATATATGGCATAAATATGCACTGGAAACATACAAACACCAGAAAACAAACTAGATAACTGGGGATCCCCCCAAATTAAGATGCTTACATACATTAAAAGATTTCTACAAAAGAGTGAAAAAAATACCTCAAAAGACAGGGCAATTTTTTTGGCAATGACATGGAATAAGGGACTAATGTCTCAAACTCACAGAAAAACTTCAAAGCTGCAACAACAAAAAGGCAAATAATCCAATTGGGAAATGAATAGGGCCAAAACCCACCTGTAAGATAGGCATTCCCTCCCAGAAGGGTCACACAGAGGGAATGATAGATCCAGCGTGCAATATAGCACTGATGAAGCACATAAATACTCTCTAATTCTTTAATATTTTCTCTCCTTACGATTATGGTCTTAGTTTCACCTCATTAATCTTCTGAGTCACCTGTATGTTCATTTGCATAATTAAGTCGTTCGATGCATGAACTCCAAGACAGATAAACCCTTCTGAAATAATAATGGGAGTAATGATTCCCTGAGGATACAGGAAGATGGGGATGGGGGGAGGGGAAATCAATAACATTGATGACTGTATAACCCCACTCATAACAGAATTGCAGGTGAACTGAGACATGGGAAGGTGTAAAATATGGCAAAATAATAATAATAATAATATGGTAATAAGGGTTCCTGGGAGGTAGAGTTGGGGAGGGAGGGGCTAAAGGGGAGCTGATATCAAAGAGTTCAAGAAGAAAGAAAATGTTTTGAAACTGATGGTGGCAGCAATTGTACAATTATGCTGAATCTAATTGAATCATGGATTGTTATAATATCTGTAAGAGCTCCCATTAAATAAATTAAAAATTTAAAAAAAGAAGAAGAAAGAAATGGGTAGGAAATTGAACAAACATTTAACCAGAGGAGACATTCAGATGGCCAACAAACAAAGCAATGATCTCAATCACTAGCCATCCAAGGGATGCAGATCAAAACAATGAGACACTGAGCTGTCTATCACCTCACCCCAGCACTGATAGCAAGGTTGCAGAAAGCAACAAATGCTGGTGAGGACGCAAAGAGGACACTTTCACACACTGCTGGCGGGGCTGTAACATGGTGCGACCTCTGTGGAAAGGGTGTGACCCTCCCTCCAACAACTGGGAATAGCAATACCATATGATCGATAAGGCCTCCACGCGGCAAATATCCCAGAAACAATCAAAAGGTTATTCCAACTCATCGTGACCATATATAGGGTTGCCAAGACTGTGAAAAAAAATTTTTTTCCAGACTGTAAATCTTGACAGGAGCAGATAACTTCATTTTTCACCCAAGGAGCAGCTGATAGGTTTGAACCACTGACCTTGCAATTAGCAGCCTAATTCCTAAGCTTTTGCAAAAATGCTAACTGAGGGGAGAGACATATGAACTTGGGTGAAACTCAAAACTCATTGCCATCGAGAATCAATTCCAATTCAGAGTGGAATTCCCCTGTGGGCTTCTGAAACTGTAAATCTTCACAAGAATAGAAAGTCTCATGTTTCTCCCACAGAGTGGCTGGTCATTTGGAACTGCTGCCCTAGGGTTTAGCAGTCCAAAGCATCCCCTATGATAACACCAGGGGCTCCTTGTAACTGGGATAAAGAGGAAGGTCATTCCGCCTGATCTGATCCCACCACACCGAGGCAAAACAGTATGGGCGTGGAACAGAACAGCAAGGGGAACAGAGCAATGAAGTCCGGAGGAAATACCGAAAATAGACTTTGGGGCCAGGGCTTTGGCGCCCCAACAGACTCGACCAGAAGACATGCCTAAAGGCCAACAAACGGTCCTTGAACTAACTGCAAGCTTTTCTTTCTTGTTGTTGTGTTGTGTTTTGTTTATTGTCATTGGCTTGTTATTGTTTTGTTTTATTTTGTTGCTTGGTTTTGCTGTCTTGTTTTTGTGCATGTTATTATCTCTGCAGATCTGTCTGAATAAGATAGGCTGGATGAAAAACCTGGTGGAAAAAACAACGGGACCGACAGTTCTGGGGGTACATGGGAGTGGGGGAGGTGGGGGGAAAGGAAGAGGTGTTAACAAACCCAGGGACAAGTGAACAACAAGTGATCCAAATCGGTGGTGAGGAGGGTGTAGGAGGCCTGGTAGGGCGTGACCAAGGGTAATGTAACTAAGAGGAATTACTGAAACCCAAATGAAAGCTAAGCATGATAGTGGGACAAGAGGAAAGTAAAAGGAAATAGAGAAGAGAGCTAGGAGGCAAAGGGCATTTATAGAGGTCTAAATACAGGCATGTTCATATGTAAATATATTTATATATGAGGATGCAGAAATATATCTATGTGCATATATGTATAGGTTTAGTATTAAGGTAGCAAATGGACATTGGACCTCCACTCAAGTACTCTCTCAATGCAACAGTACTTTGTTCTATTAAACTGGCATTCCAAAAAGAGCCCTGGTGGCACTGCAGAATAAAGGTTGAACTGCTAACTATCAGGTTAGCAGTTTGAAATCACCCACTGCTCTGCTGCAGAAAGATGATGCTGTCTGCTCCCTAAAGATTGACAAAAAATGAGTTGAAATAGGCTCACTGATGTTTAGGGGAAAAATGAGGACCCAATG